CAACCCTCAGACTGGGTCTAAGGAGGAGGGCAGGTGGGTGAGGGGCTGGATGAGGCCAGCCTGAGGTTGGTAGAGCTGTGCCCCAACAGGCACTCCTGGGGTGAGGCTTTCAGGATGCCAGAGGAAATGTTTTCACAAGCCAACGACAACCCAGTTTTGCTTTTTTTTCCCCTCCTGGCAAGAAAGCAGTTTCTCAAAGATCCAAAATGTGAGAGTGGGAATGGAGAGATCAAGATGACCGCTTAATCCCTTATCTCCTCCCCGATCCAACAGAATTTGAAAATGTTCCACCTAAAGCAAAACACAATGGACTGGTTGTCTAGCATCACAAAGGCAAACACCATAAAATCTATTTCCACATCACTTGGGTGAATTACCGGTATATAAAAGCAGAATGTCCCGTTCATTTGTGGGAGACTTTGTCTTCACCGAATGTCCTCTGAGGTGGAGCACATGCACCAATATCTACAGAATCTTCTTCGAATTGAACAAATTGAACTATTAAAAAAAAATATCAAACCAGTCCCAAATCTTGAAGCTTAGATACTGTAGATACAGGAGCAATAACAAACAAACAAACAAAACAAACAAACAAACTCCTAACCTTCCAGTATCAACAAGAAGCAGATTCCTCCTGCCTTCACTTGATTGCAGGTATTGTTTGGGCTTGAGTGTAAATCAAATTACTTAATTAGGCTGGAAGAAACAGCAGGAGTGGGATTTGTCAATGGGCTTTAATTCCTCAACCGAAAATTTTCTCCAGGTGTAAGGTAAAGATAACAGCTGCTTCCCGCCCCCCGCCCCCCCTTGTTTTCAAACACACCCTTCTGAAAGCAGGACAAGTTTCTGTTCTGGGATGGAAGCTGAGTGGGGTTGTCTTATATAGGGAAGGTCCTCCAGAACTGGTCCAGGTTCTTTGAGTTCCTGAATGAATATGAACATAAGAACATAAGACGAGCCCATCTAGTCTAGCATCCTGCCACCTAGATGCCCCAATGGGAAACCCACAAGCAGATCCTGAGTATAATGGCAACACTCTCTCCACCTGCAATTCCCAGCAGCTGGTATTCAGAGGCACAATGCCTCCAAAAGTGGAAGGAGAATCTAAGAAGCACCTGCTGGATCAGGCCAAAGGCCCATCTTGTCAAGCGTCCTGTTCTCCCATTGGCCAACTAGATACCCCAATGGGAACCCTGAAAGCAGAACCCGAGCCCAAGAGCCCTCTCGCCTCCTGTGGTTTCCAGCAACTGGTATTCAGTAGCATGACTGTCTCTGACCATGGAGGGAGTGCAGAGCCCACTCTACTATTAGGTAAACTGTGGCCCCCAAGGTAGCAGCCCTGAGGGCCCCCCCACCTGCTCTGCTGCCTGTTCAGAAGCAGTGCTGTTATTAGTGCCGAATTCAGCTGAAATGTCTGAAATTGTGCAAGATCTTGCGAGTGCACATGATTTCAGCAAGATCTTGCCTGAAATTAGTGGTGATGTTGGTGCTGCGTCTCTGCCAGTGGTGGTGGCAGGGCAGAGAGGTGTGGCATTGGTGGGAGCAGGTATGGTGGCAATGGGAGCAGGGCAAGGGGACACTCCCCCTTTTGCTTCAAGCAGTGAAATGGGATGCACCCCCCCCAAGGCAGTGCCCAGCTGTCATGGTTAATAGCCATTGATAGCCCTCTCCACCATGACTTGGTCCAGTGCTCTTTTCAAGCCTTCCATGTTGGTGGCCATCACCACTTCCTGTGGGAGGGAGTTCCACAGTTTAACTCTGTGCTGAATGCAGAACTTCTTTATCTGTCCTGAATCTTCCAATGTTCAACTTCACTGGATACCCACAAGTCCTAGTGTTAGGAGAGAACTTGTGGACATCTCATGAAGCTGAAAGCTGGCAGTGTCTCCCACCACCCCTGGGCACAGCAGGGTAGATAAGCCTGACAAGGAGAATTAAAAAAACAACAACACCTCCCAATATGAGGCACAACTAATGGTGTTTGGAATGCAGCTATATAAATGGTTAATGGCCAATTGTTACTCTGGTGCACCATTCCCTGTGTGTTTAGAGGAACATTTATTTTTCTGTCATACATTTTGTGTTTACTGTGGGGAATTAACATGGATGGACACTCACATGGGGGCGGTGGGCGGCTGGAACACCTGGAGGATAATCAGATCTAGCAACCTTCCCTGTGAATCAGAAAGGATGCATGCCCTCCCTTCACCATCGATGTGAATAAATCTTCATGTAATATTTTGTGCACTCTCCACAACAACCAGTATCAATCTTAAATGAATTCATGTTGAGGGAATTGGCCCTTGGGAGCAGTTAATTGATGTTGCGCCTACCTTGCAAATATAAGATGTGAGACACTTGGCTTGCCAGTAGTATATGTGAAAAGGATCTAGGGATCTTAGCAGACCACAAGCTTAACAATGAATCAACAGTGTGATGCAGCAGCAAAAAAAAGTGAATACTACTCCAGGCTGCATCAACAGAAGTCTAGTGTCCTGATCATGGGAAGCCATAGTACTGTTCTACTCTGCCTTAGTCAGACCACACCTGGAATAAATACTGTGTCCAGTTCTGGTGTCACAATTTAAGGAGGATACTGACAGGCTGGAACGTGTGCAGAGGAGGGTGACCAAGATAATCAAGGGTCTGGAAAGCAAGACTTATGAGGAATGCTTGTGGGAGTTGGAAAAGAGGGGACTGGGAAGAGATATGAAAGCCATCTTCAAATAACTCAAGGGCTGTCTCATGGAAGATGGAGCAAGCTTGTTTTCTGCTGCTCTAGAGCGTAAGATGCAAACCAATGAATTAAAATGATAAGAAAGGAGATTCTGGTTAAACATTAGGATGACCTTCTGACAGTAACAGCTGTTGAACATTGGAACAGACTCCCTTGGAAGGTGGTGGGGTCTCCTTCATCAGAGGTTTTCTAATGGAGCTTGGAGGGCCACCTGTCAGGGATTCTTCAGCTGTGCTTCCTGCATTGCAAGAGGTTGAGCTAGATGGTGCTTGGGGTACATCCCAACAATTCTACGATTCTATGCTCAAACAGCATTTGCAGATTTTTTAAAGACTGCCAGAAGCAGTGAACGGAGACTGTATAGCAGGCAAACAATACTTTTTTCACACAACTTCCAATTCTCCAGTGCACAGAGATGATGGTCTCCACTTTCTATTTTTCAAGCCCCAGTTGGCTGTGATATTAACAGCCTTAATAACCTCTCCCTGCAAAAGTATACCACAGTAAATTTGAAGGCCTTAAGGATTTGGTGCCTGTTAACTGGACACAGGCTCCCCATACCCTGCTAAGATAAGATGAATTATGTCACCAATTGTATTAGTTGTATTATTTATCAGTTTGTATCTCCACATACAAATTAACATGTGGACAGTTTATCTGGATCTCTGTCCTCTACCCTAGTCCCCGAAGTCTAATTGCCCACCAATAGGTTTTGACTGGCCTTGCTCTGTCAATCAGACAAAGCAGGACACTCTATCTGTGTGCTTTAAATGTCTGGTGTGGATCTGCCCCAAAGCTCCCTTTCTTTTAAGTTTCGTATTTTACATGGCATGGAAGTTGGTTCTTAATCTTGGCTCCTCTCATGCCAAGCTCAAGACACCAGCCAGGTAATGCTGGCAGAACAATTGTCTTCTCCAGGGATTCCTAGGGAACTTTGCCCATGCATGGATTGTTCCAATACCCTTCAAAATGTTTCCGTAGGCAAATTCAGGTGGCGGTTCAGAGCTGTGTGGAACTGCTTACCTACCTCACCTGAGAAATATTCTGTTATTGAAAGGAAATACTTCCTATGCAACTCCTTGAGTGTTTTCCCCTCCGCAAGAATCTCCAGATTCATTTCTCTTGAGAAGGAATCTCTCAGCAACTCATATCAAAATCCTTTCTCCCATTCCTGCAGGGCAGAGATAATGGGAGATCTCCTGAACCACTATATCTAACCAGGCTCCATCATAAGAAATTGCTGGCCCATTTAGTCAGCCTCCTGTTCTCAGTGGCCAGCTAGCTGCCCCAATGGGAAGCCTATAAGCCAGGCCTGAGCACAAGAGCACTCTCCCCTCCTGTGCCTCCAGCAACTGGTATTCAGAGGCATACAGCCTCCAACAGAGGGGGCAGAACATGAGGTGAACCCTGCTGGATGAGGACAAATGAGGTCCATCTTGTCCATCATCCTGTTCTTGCAGATGCCCCAATGGGAGACCCAAAAGCAGAAGCTGAACAATTCTCCCTACTTGTGATTCTCAGCAACTGGGAGAACACAAGAAGAGCTTGCCTGCTGGATCAAGCCAAAAACGGTGCATCTAATCCAACATTCTGTTCCCACAGTGGCCAACTAGATGCCCCAATGGGAAAACTGCAAGCAGGATTTGAGCACAAGAGCTCTTTGCCCTCCTGAGGTTTCTGGCAACTGGCATTCAGAAGCATTATTGCCTCCATCTGTGGAGGTGGAACATGACTAGTAGTTGTTGATAGCCTTCTCCTCCATGAATTTCTCCAACCCACTTTTAAAACCACCCTTTGCCTCCCTGTTAGTGCCAAGAACACACCCCTTTCCTCCGTCTCGCCTCTTCTCTCTACCAGTCCTTCAGCATCAAACTGCTAAAGAGTTTGCTACAAAACCATTGCCAGATCTGTCCCATAAGCACTTGGAAGTGAGTGGAATTGGCCACAGCCAGCTAAGGCAGACACCCCATTTTTGAACATCTGGGCTTGATGGAGAACAGCTTGCTCTGCTAACTATCTCTCTTATGAGCCCCCCCCACTCCATTGCAATCTCTTTACAAACTAAGCACCACAGTTGGGGTTGTGACATTTGCTTAAAGCTCCTTTGGCAATCCTGTTTTCTGTTGTTTGCTGTGAAAGCCTGAGATGACAAAGAAAAGAAGTACATATTAACCAAGCTTTTCTACCTTGACATGATTTCTGCTATGCAACAGCAGCTGAGGTATGGAGGGCTTGAGGACAGGTGGGAAGCAATTTCTGACCCAAAGATAATAAGCCCTCTCTGATTGCTTCTGCAAGACCTTAATGGGATTGGAAGAAATGAGAGGCTTGGGGGAATCTTGAAAGGTGCACAGCTTCTGTCTGATGCAAAAATGAGCCCATGGCCTTCTATCCTCCCTGGGCAATAGACACTGCTGGAGCAAGGGGAATGTGGCAACCACCACTACTGTTATAAGGTTGGGGGTTAGTTTAGATTATCTCCATGGGTACCTTTCAAACTTGTGACCCGTGACTGTGAGGTTAAGATCTACAAGAGGAAACCTGGTGAACTGGTCAGACCAGTCCAAAGAGACTGCCATAGAAACATATGGATGGGCTTTCCACCACCTCACCTGGCTGGATGCCACATAATCCTAGGATGGGGAACAACAAGCTAAGGAGGTTTTTTGTGTAAGACAGAGTTTTGGCTGATGCTGGAAGCTGGAGACAGAGAGGCATGCCTGTTTTGTGTTAGACCCCAAGCTGTGACTCAGGGCTTTCCCTGGAAACCCAAAGGGGAAGCAATATCTGTCAGAGTGTGAAGGCTGTGAGACCCTTCATCCTAAACTCAGGTTGTATATATGTAGAAGTAAAACCATATATTCTAAAGACACCACAGTCTCCATTGACCTTCATTCCAAGGAAACTGAACCCTGTGTAAGCACCCTGAAATCTCTCACCACTAAAGAGACTGGGGTGTGCACAACATTTTATTCTACCACAGATGGAAGGCGGAAGTCATACGCTCCTCAGCAAGCCAGGTGAGAAAAATCATAGGCTGGACATGTGGTTTGTACCCACTATTCAGCTGGGAGCAGGCTAGAACTTAGCTTTTTCAGTGCCACCCAAAATATGGGAGCTGTCTCATACACATACACACATTCTCCACCTTAGGAATATTTCCCAAGCTGATATATCAAGAGCAGGGGTGAACAATGTCTGCTATAAACTTCCCATTCTGCCTACAAGATAAACTCAACTCAACTCAACTCAACTCAACTCAACTCAATCCAATGCAACCCAAACTCAAATTGACTCTGGATTCCTCCCAGTTTTGGGAACTGACAATAGACAGGTTAACAGAAATGAAGGTGCTGAATGACAGGGAGAGGGGGCAGTGAGAAAGAATAATAGGGTGAGTTGTTTTCCCCCCTGATCCTGATAGTGTATTGAAAGTTCAATCCTCACCAAATGTGGGAGCTGTGAAGCCTATATTTTCCTGGTAAGGAGAAGGTAATAGACTGATAACCATCCTTGGGGCTGCTTCACACATAATGCATTTCCTACAGGACCATGGAAGTTGTGATGCTGAAGCTGAGTTAGATCATTGCTCCATATAACAAAGAATGGGCTATTCTGACTGGCAGCCAGTCTCTCCAAAGAACTTGGGGTATAGGCCATTCTTGCCTCTGCTGTCCATGATTCACTTTTAATGGGAGATGCTGGTAGTCGAACCTGGGACCTTCTGTATGCAAAGCAGGTCCAATCCCACTGAGTGACAGCCCATGTGCCTGTTTGGACATGTGGACAGTGGTCCTCCCCCCCCCCAATATTTATAGAAGCATGATGTGTGAAGCACTTGCAGGCATTAGTGCCAGTGGGAATCCCAGATTCTGAAATTGGGTGGCAGTGCAGTTATTGATTATCAAGAGCCAGTTTGATCAGTTGAATGGTCTTTGGGGAGGCTTTGGGGAACAGAGGAAGCTGCCTTGTATGAAGTCATTGGTCCACCTAGCTCAATATTGTCTACACTGGCTGGCAGCAGCTCTCCAGGGGTTTCAGACAAGAGTTCTCTTCAAGCCCTACTGAAGATGCCATTAAGGATTGAACCTGGGACCTTCTGCATGACACTCAGATGCTCTACTACTGAGCTAGAGCCCTACGTTTGTCAAGATCCTGGTCCTCATGGTTCTGAAAAAACCTCACGGGTTTTTTTTAACCTCATAGTTAAATAGGAGAATAGGAAGCTGCCCTGTATTTTGTCAGACCATTGGCTCACCTAGGTTGGTATTATCTACCCTGATTGAATGTGGTTCTCCAGGGGTTTCAGGTAGCAAGTCTCCCAGATCTACCTGGAAATGGCAGAGGCTGAAGCTGGGACCTTCTGCATCTCTAGAAGATGCTCTATGACTAGGCTGAGCTTTCCCCATTTAAAACTTTTTTCCCTAGATATATGGGCCACAGAGAATTTGATAGTCACCATGTGAAATATGAGCCTCATTTGCCTATGTGTGTGCGTGCAGGGAAGCACTGGGTGCTCAGGATTTGCTGGATTTGGGGGCATGAATTAATTCTGCCTTTATTACATCACAGCTTGCTCCCTCATCTGAAGGCAATGTGATTCTTCAGAGGTGCCTGCCCTTTTTGCTTTCTGCAGAACTGAGACACAAGGGCAAATTCCTCCATAGGAACACAGGATGCTACCTTATACAAAGTCTGATGGTTGGTCCATCTAGCCTAGTACAGTCAAAACTAACTAGCAGAGGTTCTCCATGGTTTCAAATAAGGAGTCAACCCATCCCTGTCTGGGGATGCCAGATATTGAACCTCGGGCCTTCTCAGTGCTTCCCCCGTCCTACCCACTAGAAAAATAGGTGCTGGAACTCACCACAAAGTTGTTACAGTAAGTCGTCGGGCAACTCAGGGCAACCCTGAACAATTGCCAGTTTGACAACAAACCCACGGAGGTGCTAAAAGCTACTGCAAGCTGTCTCTCTAAACGGTTTGGAGGTCACCCCTGGTTCTGGTGCAGGTCAGATAAATGCACCCCTGCTCCCCTCGTTCTCTTAGATTCAGGCAGGTGGCTAGGGCATCTCAGAAAGGCCCTTGCAGAAACACACACATGTGCAACAGTAGAGGCCTGGCAGGAAAGCTTAAAGCCTGCCGCTGCTACACTGGAGACTGATTGAAGAAAATGGAATATGAATTGCACCCCCCCATAGCTTGACCAATCACGGCTAGGAGCTAGGTGGAGCCATAGTTCTGAAAAAACTGTAGACTCACACATGCTGACCAACTTCCATTTTGACTTCAAATGTTTGCTTTGGGCTTCTCAGAAGTACGTAAAAGGCAAGAAACAGGTGGGAGGATCACCAGCCCACAATGGCACCCACCTGAGAAGTGCCAGAACTGTGCTTCGACACACTCCGACTGGAAAAAAAAAGCACTGGACCTTCTGCATGCATAGCAGGTACTCTGGCACAGAGCTGCGGATGCTCTTGATGAACACAGGAAGCTGCCTTATTATGGTGAGACAGACCATTAGTCCATCTAGTTCAGTATTGTTTGACGCGCTTTGTCACATGACATTGTTTACAGTTTTCCAGGGTTTCAGACAGTGGGTCTCTCCCTGCCCTACCTGGAGAGAGATGCTGGGGACTGAACCTAGGATCTTCTACATCTTCTGCTTTACCACTGAGCTCTTTCCCATTGAAAGTACAGCCCCCTCCTTGCTTGTGGCTCTTTCTCACAACCTCCAGTGTGTTTTCCTGCTCAGATTCTATTGGCTCAGGGCCTGTGGGTGCCTTGTTACCTCTGTCTCTCCCAGCTTCAAAAGGATTCACAAACAAATGTGGCTGATTCCTGTGGCTTTGAATTAGTTAGGCTGAGAGAAGATAGAGGAGTCCAGCTATGCCCGAAGGCTGGCCATTCTTGGTTTGCATGTCCTGGTGCAAATCATTACTCTTGAGGTGCTGACTCCATCCTTCACCCTGGTGCTTAGTTTGTCCTTTTGTCCATAAGAACAGTGGGGCACCCTCCAGTCTTCGTGCAGCAACACATAGAAAGTGTTGTGACTAGAGATGTGAGAAGACATCCCTTTTGGTTCTGCCCTGTAGCTGTCACATGTAACACCGTTTCCATTCCGCTCCTTTTTGTCTTCCACGAAAACTACTCATCTCATCTGCTGTGATGAAATAATGTAACTTACACAATAAATTACGCAGGTGACATATGCTGTCATTACATTATCCCACCACATTTATTTAATGCAAAGGAAATGCAGTGCAGATCGGTGTGTGTGTGTCTGTGTGTGTGTGTGTAGCATAATCGGTTACAGATCATCGGTAGACTGGAAGCAACAACAAAGGCAAATACTGAAAATAATCGCTGGAATGATTTCTGTTCCAGACAAGAAGGCGAAAAAGCAAACTGTTTCAGCAGTTCCTGCTCCTGTTTCCTTCAAAGTTCTCTTGATGCCCCTGGTTGTGACAGCGAGGCAAGCTCACACCAAATGAACAGAGGTTGGATATGTCAAGGATTCTTGAGTTGTGATTCCTGCTTCGCAGTGGACTAGAGTAGATTACTCTTTGAGTCCATCCAACTCTACGATTCTATGATCCAGGAGTCATTTTCAGTGCAATCCATGATGTGTGATTTCCTGACAGCACAGCAATATTTTCCTTTGGCTTTTCTTTGAAGCACTGTCAGTCATTCTCAGCACTGACACAAAGCCTTCCTTCCTTGCCGTGGGTCTATTTCATCTCCTTCAGCCTGGCCTTGTATGTGAGCTCACCTTGCCTAAAGATCAGGCTGTTGTTATAAATAACATGATTACATCTCTACTATGGGGTGGGATGCTGGATATGCTTGGACCACTAAGAGATTCACACATTCTAGGGGCCAGGTTCTTTGGCTATCAAAGCATCTCTCTTTTTTCATAATAAGAATAAGAATAATAAGTAGTCGTCATCGGGGTGGGGGTGAGTAAGATGGCTTCCATTGTGCAGCTGGGGAATCCTTCTTGCTTGTGTTTATATGGGAGACTTGTGGACTTAAGACAACCCTTGCTTTGAAAGAGGTAGAGCTGGTGCCTTTGCTTCCATGAACCGGCTGTGCACATCAAGGGGAACTCTTGAAGTATTAAAACATTGGTTGGTGGGAAGGGGGCTCTTTCAGGTCCTGCTGCCCCAGACTCAGACAAAAAACAACACTGAGCTACGGGGGACTGGGGGTGTGGGTGTGGGTGGGGTGGGGATAGAGAACAAGTAGGGTGATGTGGGAAGGAGACTTAGCTAATTCTCATCTCTGGCAGGCCGGATCTTCATCTCAGTGAACTTGAGGGAGTACTGCCAGCCTGTCCATGAGGACCACTCGATGCCATCGGCGTAGGAGCTGTGGTGGCCCTTCAGGTACTGCCCGTTCAGGTTGGAGGTGTGGCAATTGCGGTACCACCAGGCCCCGTGGTAGAAGGAGGCACAGTTGTTCTCTGAGTGGTCGTTGTCCAAGTCTTTGGTGGTGAACTTCATGCCATTGTGCTTCAGGAACGAGTCGCCTGCAGGGGGAAGGAGTCATTTGTCAGGGTGGGGTGAGGTCTTTGGAAAGGGCCACTTGGTGGACAGGGACATCTGCCCTCCAACTCCACAGACAGCCTATTGAAATTTGCTCCAAAAGCTCTGAGCAGGTCTGTAAGAACATAAGAAGAGTTTGCTGGAGGAGGCCAATGGCCCATCTAGTCCAGCATCCTGTCCTCACAGTGGCCAACCAGATGCCTGTAGGAAACTCACAGGCAGAATTCTGGCACAAGCACACTCTCCCTTCCTGAGGTTTCCAGCTACTGGTATTCAGAAGCATTACTGCCTCCAACCATGGAGACAAAGCATAGCCATTGTGGCTAGCAGGTGGCGCCAGATCTGCGCTAGGGGTCAACATTCTGGGACAAAGTAATGGAAGGCTGAAAAACTAAAGGTGCAGGTTTTGGTGAGGCTAAACAAATGAACAGAACTGTAGCTCTACATTTTAGAAAGGGTTTTGCAATTCAGTTGAAATAAAATTTTGTTTTGTTTTGTTTTACGTCAATAAATCTATAAATATTTGCTTTCTGAGTTAGTCCCTGACAGCTGAGAGCTAAATTCTTCCTTGCAAATTGGACGTTCCGACCTAAATGTTCTTTCTGTCAGGGTGAAATGTCAATTTCTGACCTGAAGTTTCAATTCTGAGCAGCTGTTTTGAAGTGGAAATTTGCCGTTCTGACAGGCCTGATTGCTCCAATGCTATTAGCACCGGTGCTGTTCTGGATATAATGCACGGTATTTTGAGCACAGAGCAAATGGCCTTCCTTCCTACCTTCCTTCTTTCCTGGTGATCCACGAAGAGGTATATACCCCAAACTTCCACAGCTATTCACAAACACACATCCTCAGTGCACAAATATCCACTGCACATGCGTATCTTTTCCCCCTCTCACACATATCCCCTCTGCCCTAGGCACCAGGCAAACTTACCTGCTGTCCCAGAATAGTCAGCAATAGTAACTGGATAGCCATCTTCCTCAGGGTCGACAGAGAACAAACCCACCGAAAATGTTCCATAATGTGCATAAGCTGTGCCATTATCAAAGTCCTCTAGGTCAATGCGCAGCTCGTAGCTGGCTTGCGTGGTCAAGGCATGGATCCTCTTCAGCCCTATTAAATGAGTTTCTAATCAGTTTATATGTGGGACATGGATGTGTCCTTAAATACATTACCGTTTGTCAGACACTGCATTTTATAAACGAGGAAATACAAACTTTGGAACTCCCTGCCTATTGACATCAGACAGGTGCCTTTGCTGCACTCATTTCAGCACCAGCTATAAACATTTTTTTGTTTAAGCAAGCCTATCCAGGCATGTAGAATGCTGACATGTTTTAATCTCAGTTTAAACTTCCTGGTTTTAATTGTATTTTGAAAACTTTTAAATAGCTGTTTTGTACTTTTTTACTGGCAATTTCATTGTTTTATTTCTTTGTATACCATTTTGAGAATTTGATATATTTGGTTTTTGGGTTTTTTGCAATCAAGCAGTACTGTGGTACCTCTGGTTGTGGACGGGATCCTTTTCCGGAGCTCCGGTTGGATCCTGAGGTTTCCGCAACCAGAGGGACTGCTTCTGCGTATGCGCGCGTGGTGAAAGCCGGAAAAATACTTCCGGGTTTGCCGTGTTCACATCCTGAAGCAACTGGAGGTATGTATATCCAGGGGTACCACTGTATATGCATTTTATGAAATACATAATTTGCTACATTCATTTTAGAAGGTGCAGCCTTTTCAGAAAGCAGCTTTCTTAAGGCTACCAAAAATATTAAAAATCAGACCTGCCTAAATGTGTGACGCGGGTGGCGCTGTGGTCTAAACCACTGAGCCTAGGGCTTGCTGATCAAAAGGTCGGCGGTTCGAATCCCCGCGACGGGGTGAGCTTCCGTTGTTCAGTCCCAGCTCCTGCCTACCTAGCAGTTCGAAAGCACATCAAAGTGCAAGTAGATAAATAGGTACCACTCTGGCGGGAAGGTAAATGGCGTTTCCATGCGCTGCTCTGGTTTCGCCAGAAGCGGCTTAGTCATGCTGGCCACATGACCTGGAAAAACTGTCTGTGGACAAACGCCGGCTCCCTCAGCCAGTAAAGCGAGATGAGCGCTGCAACCCCAGAGTTGTTTGTGACTGGTCTTAACGGTCAGGGGTCCTTTACTTTACCTTTTAAAATGTGTGATGGGCAGATATTGGAGATTCAAGATTCTGCACTGGGTAGTTACCGTTAAGTTACAAGTAAGGAGATTCTGACACAATGTCAGAAAGAACTTTCTGGTGGTAAGAGCTGTTCAACTGTGGAACCGACTTCCTCAGAAAGTGGTGGACTCTACTTCATTGGAGGTTTTTAAGCAGAGGCTGAATGGTCACCTGCCATGGATGCTTTAGTGGAGATTCCTGCATTGCAGGAGATTGGACTAGATGACCCTCAGAGTTCCTTCCAACTCTACAATTCTATGATTCTAAGGATGTACAAAAGGGACACGGGTGGCGCTGTAGTCAGAAGGTCGGCGGTTCAAATCCCCGCGACGGGGTGAGCTCCCATTGCTCGGTCCCTGCTCCTGCCAACCTAGCAGTTCAAAAGCACATCAAAGTGCAAGTAGGTACCACTCCGGCAGGAAGGTAAACGGCGTTTCCGTGCGCTGCTCTGGTTCGCCAGAAGCGGCTTAGGCATGCTGGCCACATGACCCGGAAGCTGTACGTCGGCTCCCTTGGCCAGTAAAGCAAGATGAGCGCTGCAACCCCAGAGTCGTCCATGACTGGACCTAATGGTCAGGGGTCCCTTTACCTTTACGGATGTACGAACATAAGAAAAGCACTGCTGGATCTGGCCAATGGCCCATCTAGTTCCAGCATCCTGTTCTCACAGTAAACAACCAGGTGCCCCATTGGGAAACCCACAAGCAGGATTTGAGCATAAGAGCAGCACATTCCCCTCCTGTGGTCCCAAAGCAAGTGGTATTCAGAAACTGGTATGACTGTCTCTAACTGTGGAGGCAGAACATAGCCATTATGACTAGTAGCTATTGATAGACTTTTCCTCCATGAATTTGTCCACTCTGCTTTCAAATCCATACAAGCTGGTGGTCATCACTGCATCCAGTGGGAGGAAGTGAAGAAGTCCTTTCTTTGATCTGTCCTGAATCTTCCAACACTCAGCTTCATTGCATGTCCAGAAGTTCCAGTGTTATGAGAGAGGGAGAAAAACCATCCACTTTCTCCATGTCATGCACCAATTGGAGGTGGGGGTGGAAGAGGCCATGGGATATTAAGAGCCCAGCCAACACAACAAGGAAAGCTGCTGTTGACTGTTGTGTCATGTGCCTTATCCACAATTTAGTCCCACTTCCCAGACCAAACCTTCCCAGCCTCTGTTTCATGCAGCTTTTAGTGTGGGCCTTCAGAGGCTGAGAGATGGGATTTCACTGCCTATCAATTAGGACTTGCAAAAGCACCTCTCTAGAGGTGGGTAGTGAGAGGGGAGAAGGAGTCCTGCTGATCATTTCTCAATTAAGAGGTGATTTGGGGAAAGTTGTCATTCGCCATGAGTGATGACTCCTTCTCTCCCATTTTCAAACCTCTCCTCCATCACACCTGGTGTTCTCTTTAATTACCAGTATTTTAAGTTATACTTGCAGGCTGCAGGCTCCTTAGGTAGAAATCATCTCCACAACATGACACAACCGTCAACAGCAGCTTTCCTTGCAAACCCCAACAGTTTTGATTCAGAGGTTTCTGCTCGCTGGTGTGCAGCTTATCTAGGAACAGGTCAAGGCTGGCATAACAGGGAAATACCAAAGTGAACAGGTGCTTGGAGCGTTTGGGACATTTTGGTTTTGAGAAAAAAGCAGTAGGAGGCAACATAATAGAAGTTTGTAAAATTATGCATGACCTGGAGAGAGTGGGAATTTCTTCCTTTCTCATAACACTAGAACTCATGGGTATCAAGTGAAGCTGAATGATGGAAGGTTTGGGACAGATAAAGTCCTTCTCCATGCAGCACATAGTTAAACTATGGAACTCACTCCCACAGGAGGCAATGAGGACCACCATCTTGGGTGAGCCAGTCACTGCCTCTCAGCCTGTAACCTACCTCACAGGGTTGTTGTGAGGATAGGATGAAAAGGAGGAGGAGAATCATGTGCACCACATTGAGCAACTTGGTGCAAAAGGTGGGATAAAAATAAATAAAGCCACTTCTCTGCCTCTTCCCCAAAGCTGTGATAATAAAGGCCAAGATGCACATACCGAGCCAGTGTTCTCCAGTCAGTTTCCCAAATCCATCCCTGTAAGCTTCCCACCCGCGGAAGAAATTCACAGAGCCATCCTCACGCCGCTGGAAGACCTGTAGTGGGAGAAATCAGTGCAGGATTAGTAAGAACAAGAGAGAGAGAGAGAGAGAGAGAGAGAGAGAGAGAGAGAGAGAATGTGTTCACTGGGGGAGGAGGCGGGGGCGAGCCTCCGTCAGTTTTGTCTTTCCCTCCCCCATTCACAGTCCAGTTTGAAGAGCGATGGTGCCGCTTTATCAGATGAAAGAGCCGAGATGCAAACTAAAAACCCCGTTAAATTGGCTAATTATGTTGGAGTGGTTCAGCGAAAGGGACTCTGAAGAGGCTTCCTGTCAGGATTAATAGGGAGGTTGACACTGAAACCAGAAATGTTATGTTACAGATATGGCGGCTATTAATTTTCTCATTCTAGGCTATCACCCAGGGAGCTTTCTTCCAGCCCAAGGGCCGCATTCTCTCCTGGGCAACCTCCTGGGGGCTGCATGCCAGGCTGGGAGGGAGGCAAGGGGCATGAGCAGAGTTCAAGGGCACATTCCAGCCAGGCAAAAGCACTCAAGAAGGATACAAAGCCTAGGTAGTATGGAGTGTGGCCTATGGAAAGAAGGAATGGCTGAGGAGGAGGTAAAGCCCGAGGGGAGTCCCAAGGGTTGGATTGAGAGGTCTCCAGGGATGCACTTGGTCCCTGGGACTGAGGTTTCCCAACACTGTTGTAGGGTTGCTGTTCTTTTAAGTAATGTGCAAAGCAGACATAAGAATATAAGATGACATAAGAATGTGCAAAGCAGACATGAGAATATAAGATGACCCCCTCCTGGATTAGTCCAGTGGCCCTTCTAGTCCAGCATCCTCTTCTCACAGAGGCCACTCAGATGCCTGTGGGAAACCAGCAAGCAGGATTTGAGCACAAGAGCCCTCTCCCCTCCTGGGGTCTCCTGCAACTAGTCTTCAGAAGCATGCCTGCAACCCGTGGAGATTAAGCATAGCCATTGCAGGTAGTAGCACAGCCCTCTCCTCAATGCATTTTTCTAATCCTCTTTTAAAGCCATCCAAGTTGGTGGCCACCACTGCATCCTATGGGAGTGAGTTCCATTTTTTAACTATCCTCTGCGTGAAGAACTACTGAATTGTATTCTGCCTTTTGGATTACCAGCAGATCTCCCCTTAGCCATGTGTTATCTCATGATTCAGTGTTTTATAACTTGCTAAACTTGCTGTGGGGCACATGACCTCCCTTCAGGTGCCCACGGTCTGGTATTTGTGAGTGGCGTGCCAAGTGATAGGGAAGCCCTGCTGTGTTGCATTTGAACCACGGCGTCTTATAGGCAAACCCTATGTAATGGTGAACGTGAACATTTCAAGCTGGCTTTCATTTCTGGGCAACAAGAGTTTTGATTAAAGATTAAGCAATAACGAACTGTGCATTTACTGGTTCGCCTTACCCCCTTCTGCTGTGGTTCTCAAATTAGCCAAGTGAAATGTCCTCCTTTTGGTACTTTTCTTGCTTAATTAAACTTTGATCTATTGGCCGGAGAATCAAGAAAATACCTCCTGTGTCTGCTACTCACCATTAATTAAGCGTCCATCCCCTGATTTAATGAAGCAGGGGCACATTTTGACTGGAAGGGCACCAAAAGGAAAGTTTACTTTCAGAACAGCTGAGTTCTCAGATCACTGGATTTTCAGCCGTGACCTAAAAGGCCTTTCAAAGTTGCCCATACAAGTACAATGGCCCATCCATTTACTTTAAAGCAGCACTCTGGTGATGGTAACCCTATTTCCACTGGTGATGCCAATATGCCACCATTACCCTCAGGCTAATAATGGTTGGAGGGTTGGAACTGGGGTATTATTTCTAACAGTGGCAGAGAACCCTTTTCCGCTGGAGGGCCGCATATTATGGGCAACCTTCCAGGTGCCAGATGTAAAAGCAGGCAGACATGAACTTTACCTCCATAAACTAAGCTAGTTTCATAGCACATTGAAAGCTGCTTATACTGAGAGTCAGGCCAATGGTCCATCTAGCTCAGAATTTTCTACACTGACTGGCAGCAGCTCTCCTTCTTCATATGTGTTACTTCAAGACTGGATTACTGCCATGTGTTCTATGTGGGGCTTCCCTTGCATTGATCCAAAAGATGGAGGTAGTGCAGAATGCTGCAGCCTGGTTGCTGACAGGGCTGAGACATTGTCAGCATATCACACCTGAGTTCAGAGATCTGCACTGGCTGCTGTTTTGCTACCAGGCCAAGTTCAGTGTGTCATTATTATATAAAGCCCTTAACAACTTGGGACCAATTTACCTGCAAGGTGGCCTTATCCCATTTATGCCCACTTGACCATTTCATTCGGCAGAACTGGCACTCTTACAGGTGCCATATAATACCCACCCTTCATTTTTAAGTAGTGTGGCAGCAACTCTCTGCCTATTCATATCAGGCAGCTGGCTTCATTGTATTCTTTTTAGCACCGGCTAAAAACATTTTTGTTTAGACAAAGATGTCCAGATTCTTAGAAAGTTGATGTGGGTTTTAATCCGTTTTCAGTCTACTGTTATTCTCATCCTTCAAAAGTATTATGGTTGTTACAGTGGTGCCCCGCAAGACGAACGCCTCGCAAGATGGAAAACCCGCTAGACGAAAGGGTTTTCCGTTTTGGAGGCGCTTCGCAAAACGAATTTCCCTATGGGGTTGCTTCGCAAGACGAAAAAATCTTGCGAGTCCCCGCGGGTTTTTTTGCTCCCCCCCTTTCCTAAGCCGCTAAGCCGCCTATCAGCTGTTCCGCTGATAACCCGCTTAACAGCTGATCGCGAAAAGCCGCTAGACCGCTGTAGCGCTAATCCGCTAAGCTGTCAATGGGCTTGCTTCGCAAGACGAAAAAACCGCTAGAAGAAGAGAATCGCGGAACGGATTCTTTTCGTCTTGCGAGGCACCATTGTACTTTTCCTTTCTGTAACCTGCTTTGAGATTTCCTCCCCTCCCCCCCCCCAACCATTTTATTTTGTTTACAATCAAGCAGTTATAAATTTTATGGAACAAATAAATACGTGGAAAGGCAGTATTCTGGGTATAGGGATCCCAAACAGTATGGGGCTTTCTAGCTTAAAACCAGCACTGGGGGAATCCAACAGGCATCAAGGGAAGTTGGGAGGTTCACACGTTCTCATTCCATCCATCACTGAGTTCTGTGCTGGACTCAGTTTCCAAACCAAGAAGCAAACAGCTTCTGACCAGCTTACTCTCTGTACATTTGTCTAAGCCTCTCTTTAAAAACAAAAACAAAAAACCCACCTAAGCCAGGGATCGCCACCATTTCTGTAGTTAATTTTGCAAGTGTGTGAAATATTTACAGTCAATTGCATTGGGTGATAGGGAGTTGTAGTGTTCTGTGGGAGTGTGTGTTGAGGGGGAGGGGAAGAATTATCTCTGACTGATGTCCTCCCTCTCCTGTTTTCTTCCCATGAGCTGCACAAACATCCCCCACACCAAACCCTTTTGCTATGGATGATTCTTCCTGAACAGATTCGGGCAATTTCATGCTGCATAAACTGCCCATGATTACATTATTGCAGTATCTGGAGGTTGAGCTCCACTGCGGCCAGCATATGCTTCAAAATCCTGATGTGTTTCTGTTGCATCACAATGGAACATTGTTAAGGGGCAGCCAGGAACTGGGCTCCCCACAGTCTTAGTCTGGGGCTGTGTGCTAACCTGGGCTGACAGGAAAACATGGATAGATTTGTTTATTTTTTTAAGGTGGAAAAAGAACAGGATTTTTCTTTTCTTTTGAAAGGGCTGTACTTCAGTCGGGGAGCACATGCTTCATACAAAAAGGTCTCTGGGTCCATCCTCTGCATCCTCAGATGCGGCTAGGAATGTCCCTTTCCTGAAATCCTGGAAAGCTGTTGCCAGTCAGTGTGGACTATACTGAGCTTGATGGTTGAATGGTCTGACTCAGTATCAGACAGCTTCAGGTGTTCCTACTTAATTCAACCAATACTTAAGAACATAAGAAGACCCTTGCAGGATCAGGCCAATGGTCCATCAAGCCCAGCATCCTGTCCTCACAGTGGCCAACCAGATGCCTATGGGAAACTGACAATCAGAATCCGAGCACAAGAGCAACACCCTGCCCTCCTTAAGTTTCCAGCAACTTGTATTCAGAAAGCTTTGCTGTCTCTAACTATGGAGGCAGAACATATCCATCATAGCTAACAGCTATCAGCAGCCCTCCCCTCCATGATCTTGTCTAACCCTCTTTTAAAAGCATCTAAGTTGATGGTCACCAGTGCCTCTTGTGGGAACAAGCTCCGTAGTTGAACTATGCGCTGTGTGATTCTTCAGAACAATGAGGACTAGAATCTTGTTTATTGTGGCTAGGGGAAGGAGATAGCTCAGTGGTAGAGTGCACCATTTGCATGTAGAGAACCCCAGAAGAGGCAGATTTAGGGGGGCATGACGGGTTCAGTCACACAGTGTGCAGAGTGCATCAGGAGCACTGCAGGAAGTAAATTGACACCCGTTGCAGCAACTTTTGCTTGTTGGCCTGCACAGTCCTTTTCTGTGGCCCCCAGAAGGCTGTTTAGAAGGAAACATGGCCCTTGAGGCTGGGAAGAATTGCCAAGCCCTCCATTAGATGCCCTGCCACAGCTCCGACCAACTTTGCAAGCCCTAGTTTGGAGGCTGTGACATGATGCTCACTCGTCAGGCTCGCCTCTGATCCAAGCAGTACTTACCTTCTAGAATTAGAACCCTTAATTTTTATCCCTGCATTGAGCGCTTGAGAAGCTGCCTTCGCTAAGTCCCTTTGAAAGGGGCTTTGGGCCTGAACAGTTTGACGGCTGAAGGACACTTTTGCTGGAAAGGGGCCCAAAGCTGATTGCTAATGGAGAGCTTTTCTTGGCTCCCACATCAGTGGGGCATGGGGAAGGAGGGAAGGTTATGGGAGCAGGAGATAATGCAAGCTCCTTCATTAAGCTGCTTTGACCTCAGGCTGCAAAGTAGGCCAGTTGTCCACGGCACTGATGGAGGAGGGTTTGGAGGGGCTTGAGTTGCATTAG